GGGGACTGAGGCAGGGCAGGCCTGATGGGGGGGACAGGAGTGGACGACTCCGCACTTGACCCTAGCCTCAGCCCGCGGGGGGGGGCGGGTATACGACACCTGGGGCTTGGTAAGGGGTCAGCAACCCCAAAGCACCCAGGAGGACCCCGGGCGGGCGCACGGTTTTCACTGACCACCTTTACTACTTCAATCACGGAGCTGACTCAAAGTCAACACAGAGCGGCTAGGTTTGGACTCCACGCCCCACGCACGCTCCAACTCTACGCAGCATCTTCCGGGTCCGCAGCTGAGCCAATCACGTTCCTAAAATTCCTGTTGCGTCACCAAGAGCCAATCAGAGTCTCGGATCGGCCTGCCCCAACCAGTGTTACCACCTGGGTTGACTTAATCCTAGCCCTTGGCAAAACAACTTGACAGCTTTCCTTTGTGGGCAGGGCCTTTTAAACGGCTTTTTTTTTTTTTTTTTTTTTTTTTTTTTTTTTTTTTTTTTTTTTTTTTTTTTTTTTTTTTTTTTTTTTTTTTTTTTTTTTTTTTTTAACGGCTTTTTGAAAGCTTGCAAATCCTTGCCTGTCGACCTCGCCGTAGACTTACGGAAATTCCTCCTGCCCAGCCCCCGAGGGATAGAGGCTGTCAGGGCTGCAGGGACGTCCTACGCGCCTAAACTCTCTAAACTGACTGAGGATCCAAGGGGTGCATCGCGTGACACGGAGACAACCCCCCGCCGCTCTCAGGTACTGGGGTCCAGGGCACCGTGCCCATCTCCACCCCAGGGCTCTGAGAAATTCCTGGCACGCAGCCTCTGCTCACAAGAATTGGACTAAGACTACCTGCGTATCCACCTAGGCCTGGGCTTGGCAGGATGGAAACAGGCAGAGGCTGGATGGCCCTGATTTGCAGAGCCACTTCCTGGTTCCCGCGCGAAGACACCTTCTGCCTCTGTTGGTTAGAAGTCGGACTTTCCTGCTCCGAATTGATTTCCGCCACTAGTGAGACCTTGCCCGTGGTCCCCTGAGAGCTGTTTTCGCTCTTCCTCTAATTCAGAGACCCTTAGCGGGTGGCCCTCAGGATTAACCCACCACATCTGGCTTGGTAGCCGACTTTAAGTTCCCTCGTAAGCATGGTCTCCGTCCTGCCTTTGCACCACAGACATAGAGTGAGGTTGAGGGGAAGCCTCGGGGGTCTCAAATTCACCCTTGTCCCTGTGGGCCTTTCCAGCCTGTAATCCATGCCCCTGGCTGTCCCAGGGCGAGCTCTTGACCCTTGGGTCCAGCCTTGCCATCTTCTGATCACAGAAACCTCTCCCATCCCCTGTGTGGGTGGCTGCTCCCCAGGGTGTCTCTTCCGGGGCAGCTCTGCCTCTGCTCTAAAACCTCCGTCAGGTGTCTCCACGGCCTTGAGACACCTCAGGCGTCACCTCTGCTGTGCGCTCTTCCCCGAGGCCAGGCTCAACACACTGCTCCCCACTCTGGGCAGCAGCTGGATGTATTTGTCTTTCCCCTGGACAGCGAGGGACCCTGTCCCTGCCCCTCTGTACCCCTGGGAATGGAGATGGCCCACCTGGATAAGAAGTGACTTTCCTGAAAGGGAGCCTGACTCTGCCACCTTCTATCATGGACTTGATGAGGATTTTACAGTTGGGGGCTACAGGCGCTCTGCTCCACCCACCGGAACCTGGGCGACACCCCAGGGCCAACCCTGACCCTTGTCCTAAGGCTTTCTACCTGGAGGCAGAGATAAAAGCAAAGACGCTGAGCCTGCGCTAGAAAATTCCAACATTCTAAACCAGGACACCTGCACACCAGACCCCAGGCAGGACCTGCGTAGCCATTCTTCACCTGGCGCCCATTGAAGGCTCGGCATGTGGGCGGAGTCTCATACACCCAGTGGCAACAGAGTGAACTATGGGAAATTGCTACCGACCGTAGGGCAGCATACACGGGATTTCACGAGGAGATACAGGTTCTCTGAAAGGTGGGAGCAGGTTCGGCGATGACAGTCAGACAAAAGCACTCAACACCGAGGTGAAGTTTGCCAATGCTGCTGCAATTTTATTTCTAACTCTAGGTGTTTATATACTAGTTTCAAGGGCACACCTCAAGAGTGATTCCAGTCACAAGCAGGCATGAAAAAGATAGACAATAGTACTGTAAAAACTAAGACCACAAGGTCAAGGTAAGACCACACCTATATACCATCACAAAAGCTAAGACCATTAAGTCAAGGTAGGACCACACCTATACGCAGTCAGAAGGGGAAGTTTGTAAGACAAAGGACTGGCTTTAGCATGTCACCTTCAGGTTCACCTTCAGGACTTCACAGTCCGGGGCTCAGGGTCAGCACTTTGGCCACCCGTCCTCTTGTGCCTCAATATCTCCACATCTCTAGGAACATCTAATAGTTCCTAACCTTTCCTGGGCCCAGAATACAATTCTACAGATAATGAACAAATAGTAATAAAGACAAAATAGAACAGAATTATAGATGAACCCAATGTCCCCAAACTGCAGGCAGAGAGGCCAGCTGTTCTCTTCACGGCTGACTTCGCATGCGGTGTGTGCCAAGGACCTCCAGGAGGCTTAACCCCGTGGGGATGATACCTCTGGTCTGGTTTCTGCCAGGTGACCGGCATTGTCACGCAGACTCTACTGGCGTGGTCGTGGCAGGAAATTGGGGAGGGATATGCGCAGTAGGCACAGCTGTCCTGACTCAGCACCCTGCCAACCACCTTGTCCATCATGCTCTGGAAGACCCAATGGGAGAAGCAAATTTCTAAACCCCTTCACTCATACCCTCGCCACTTGTGCCGTTTTCCTTTCACAGGTGTGAGCCACTCACGCTGAGCATATTTTGGCCTTAATAAACTTTGCTGTTTTTTCTTCACCGTTGAATACCACATCCAATTCTCTGTTCTTTGGGCGCAAGAGTCTAGGCACCTGTCCTGGACCCCATCCCCACAGTAACCGTGTTCTTCTTTGTGCTTCCTGGTAGCTAGACTAGCATAGACACTCAGAAAATGTGTAAGTATGGAAGAGGATAAAGTACTTATGTATTTCCTCCTAATATCACAATTCAGGAAATACACTGTCAATTTAATTTTATCTTCAAGTTCATTCAGGATATAGAAACTACTCTATCCATCCATTTTTCTTGAAAACGTAGGCCTGACTCAACAATCCTATGATGTGTGTGTGTGTGTGTGTGTGTGTGCATGTTGAGGCACGATTTCACTGTGCAACTCTGGCTGGTCTCAAACTCATGGTGATCCTCCTGCCTCAGCCTCCTGAGTGTTGGGATTATAGGCATGCACTACCATACCTGGCAACCCTATGAATTTTTCAAAAGCTGACCAAAGTGCTGCCTGCACCAAAAATATTTTTAAAATTTGGTGCTAGGGGGCTGGGGATTTAGCTCAGTGGTTCTGCCACCTGCCTTGCAAGTGCAAGGTCCTAAATTCGATCCCTGCCTGGTACAAAAAAAGAGAAAAGAAAAAATTTGGTGCTAGGGACCAAACCCAGAGCCTCATGTATGATAAGCCCATACTTGACAATTGAACTACACCCCTATCCTCTCCAAAAATATTAAATCTTGAAGGTGAAAAGAAAGCCATAAAATTGGCTGGGGGTGGTGGCACATGCCTGTAATTCCAGCACTTGGGAGGCTGAGACAGGAGGATCACTGTGAGTTCGAGACTAGCCTGGGCTACATAGTGAGTTCCAATTCAGTCTTGACTACAAAGTGAAATCCTGTCTCAAAATAAAACAAAACCATAAAATCATTCACGAAGCCACTACACAACATATTCTTATACCAAATGGCCGCGTGTATATGTATGTAGGACAGGCAGTCCTGAGGGTATGAAACCAGACACGACTCGGTCTGGGTTCCTGTCTTCACCTTGGAGCGCTCAGGCTTTGGGTTCACTTCTTACCCTCTTGAAGCCTCAACTTCATTATATATAAAGAGCAAATTGTAGTAGGGACACTGTAGAGTTGAGTGGACAACTAAAATCCCCTGAATTACTTCACGGGGGCGGCTGGCTGTAGAGGCCTCCTCTTGGAGCTCCGGGAGTGGGCGCTGCTGTGACAGAGAAGCTGGCGATGATGTCTGCTCCCTACCTGTGCATATTCGTGGGGCCTGGGGCAGAGCACAGGTGAGGACCGAGCTTCTCCAGAGCCAGAGGAAGGCTGGTGTCGCACTGCCGGCCCTGCAGGAGGAGCAGGAAGAGAACAGAGGCCCGGTTCCACGGGAGGCATCTGCAGATATTAGTAAGTGGGAGCTACAAAAACAGACTAGAAAACTGCAGGAGGGTGATAGCAGCCCGGGAGCCATGCAGTTCCTCAGTGACGGTCAGGACTGCAGGTTTAAAAGGCTTTAAAAAAAATTTTTTATCTTTTAAATTTTACTTTACTTTTTATTTTATTTATTTATTTTTTGGCTTTTTGAGACAGACAGAGCCTTGCCGTGTAGTTCAGCCTGGCCTTGAATTCACTATGCAGCCCAGGCTGACCTGAAACTCACAGCGATCCTCCTGCCTCAGCCTCTGGAGTGTTGAGATCACAGGTGTGTGCCACCACGCCAACCCAAAAAGTTCTGTTTTAGAAAAAACCTGACAGCAGACACAGTAACAGTACACACATCACTGACATGTTGGGCACTGGAAGGGTTAGACACAGGAAGATGTTATCTGGGAACAAGTCCAGCCCCTTACCCTTGTGTGGCATTAGCCAAGACAACTATACTCTTGGCTCTTCAGTTTCCTCTTCTGTGGAAATTGAATAATATACTCACTTCACTGGTTCATTACGAAATTGAGAAATATGAACTGAGTTTTATTCTCTATAGTAGTAGCATTATAGGAAAGTGTAGCACGTTTTCTCACTTGAGGGCTTGTCTTAGTTACTTTTTGAACAGCTGATACAAAATACCCAACACCCAAAGTAAAGGAGGAAGGGTTTATTTGGCTCACAGTCTGTGAAGATTTCAGTTCATAGATAGCTGGCTCCAAGGCAGGGAGGCATCGCAGAGGAGAAACTGTTCCTGGCAGGCAGAAGCAGCAAAGCAGCATCAAGCAAGTGATAATAGCAGCTGTCTTTCTGCCCCTCATATTCTATCCAGGCAGGTGGCTCTCACACCCAGAGTGGCACAGCCTTAATCCTAGCCTCACACCTCACATCAGTCCGGTCATCACACCCTCAATCCCAGCATCACGCACTCTGGATCCAGCCACCTCCAGAAAGCCCCAAGTATGACCACGTGAGGCTTTGGGGGGCCACTAGAAATATGCCACAATGGGACTGTTTATAGATAACTCAGGATCACAGAATGGCATTTTTTCCCCTACATGTTTGTTTTTCACATTTTAGGCCAAAGTTAGACTGAAATTGAGATTTCAAATTTTTGGGCTTTTTTTTATTAAAAAAATTTTTTGAGATAGGGCCTTGCTGTATAGTTTGGGCTGACCTTGAACTTACTATGTAGCCCAGGCTGCCTTCAAATTTGTGGCAACCTTTGTACCTGACCCTCCAGAGCTCTGAGATTACAGGACTGTGCCACCATACCTGGCTCTGAGCGGAAAATAAAAACTTCAGAACAACGTAAGGAGATCAGTGCATAAGCCTCATGTATCCACTTTGCTGCTTTGCTGCGTTTTGTCTTTTGAGACCTTTAGGACCTCCAGTTGGTCCAAGTGAATCTGCGTCTACACTGGGAGGGCCAGCACCCATCCATCAAAAGCCATGCTTTCATAAGGGACTGGTGCTGATACACCCGGTAGATGACCTGCGCCCGTCTGCAGTGGGAACAAGAGGGCAGACAGGAAAGACGGTTAAGGTATTCTTCCCAGGCAGGATGACACACACCCATAATTCCACCATTCAGGAGGCTGAGGCAGGGGAATCGCTGAGTTCGAGGTCAGCCTGGGCTCCATAGTGAGTACAAGGCAAAACTGGGCTACATCGTGAGAACCCATCTCAAAAAAAAAACAAAAACAAAAACAAAAAAAAGGAGGGTTAGACATTCTTTAGCTTGCATCCTCTTAGCTCGCACTTTTAGATTTAGTGGGGGGAAGCAAAGGAGGATAATGTCAGATCTTGAAGACCGTGATGAGAGAGTAGATCCTGAGGGTCCTCCAGGGTTTGGTCCCAGTCTGTGGCTCTGTCAAAGGAGGTAGGATGGTAGGAGGCGGGGCCTAGTGACAGGAAGTGACGGTATGGGGCGTGGTCTTGCTGGGGGTGTTAGGAGTTCCGCCCCTTTCTCCACTTCCGGAGGTAAGCAGCTTTTTTTCACCTTGCACTTCCTCCCTCATGGGCTTCCTCCACAGGCCCACAGCATAGTGTGCCAAGTGACCACAGACTGAAGCCTCTGAAACTGAGCCAAAGCAAACCTTTCTTCCTTCTTTTTTAAATTTTTTGAGACAGGGTCTTGCTATGTAGTCCAGGCTGGCCTCAAAATCATGGTGATCCTCCTGACTCAGCCTCCTGAGTTCTGGGATTACAAGTGTGTGCCACCATGCCAGGTCTTTCTTCCTTTTAAGTTGTTTGTCTCAGGTATTTTGACATAGTAACAAAGCTGGCTGATACTGTCTAAGCTTAAGTTTCTCAACAAGCACTAACTGGGCCCCTATCTGAGTCCTTTTGTGCAAGGACCAGAAGTAGGGACATATCTCTCAGTGTTCCTGAGAAGAGGCCTTGTTACCTGTAGACTGAGGTTCAATCTTAGCCCTGCTGCTTGACTGCTGGCTTTGGGCAAAAGGTGGTGTCGCTATGGAAGGCGTTATGATCCCACGGAGCCTCTTGCGCCAAGGCAGGGTGGCTTCTGGACGAGGTAGGGTCCATACTTGCACTCAGAGCTGAGGCTGGAACCTGGGGCTGTGCACACTCTGCCTCATGGAGCCGCATTTCAGCCTGGACAGCGCCCTACGTGGTGCTTTGTGGGTTTCTGCTGTTGCGAATATAAGAAATGACAGATGAGAGATAGAAAGAAAAAAACAGGCTGAGGACTTAGCTCAGTGGCGCCACACCTGCCTTGTGAGCGCAAGGTCCTGAGTTGGCCACCTGGTACCAAAAGAGAGGGAGGGGAAGAAGAGGGGAGGGAGAGAGAGGGAGAACACGTGCCCACGCTGAAAAAGGTAATGAAGAGCTCTGCGGGGCAGACATGAAACAGGTGCACAAGTGACAAACAGACCAGCAGCTCTGGGAAAGGGGCAGGCAGACACCAGGAGTTGGACTTCCGGGTGGTTGCAGACATGGCCAGGGGACAAAGACCAGCCCACAAGGACAGAGCCCCTAGCTCAGATGCCCTTTGTCCCCATTGTGCAGGCACACGTGTGTCTCCCACCTGGGAGATGCAGCTAAGGGACAGCGGCTTGAACGTACGCAGCTGTGTCACCTGGGAGGTGAGACACCAAGCCACACAGCGCCTGGGCTCCCACTTCCCCGCTGAGGCTGGAGAGCCTGGTATTGGGTGGGAGACTGGGCCACCAACAGGGGACTGAGTTCTGGCCTCGGAGCCTGAAGCACTAGATGGGAGGCAGCCAGGAAACACTAGAAAGGGGAGAGGTACAGCGGCAAGGTTTGGGGTGAAGAGGCAAGTGTGCGTACCCACATCCTCGGGTCTGTGAGGAAAGTCCATGGTGAGACACAGGAGCAGACACAATTACCAACCAAAGAAAGAGTCAGGTGTTTGGCACGACCCTGGGTTCTGTCCCCAGCACCCCCAAAGCAGAGAGAGAAAGAGGGACAGAGAAACAGACACAGAGAGATTCATTCTGGATAACATGAATCATATGGATAGATAGATTGTTAAATATAAAGATAGGTAGATAGCTAGACAACTTTTTAAAATTATGTCATTCAATATCTCCCTCCAATATTATATTTGCAAGATGGCACCTTCCTTTATCAATAGTTGATGGGGCCGTGTGTAGTGGCACATGTCTGTAATCTCAGCACTTGGGAGGCTGAAGCAGGAGGATCACTGTGAGTTCGAGACCAGCCTGGGCTATACAGTGAGTTCCAAATCAGTCTCAACTATGTAGTGAGACCCTATCTCAAAAAAAAAAAAAAAAAAAAAAGATGACCACCTCTAAAAATAGTCCTCAAAGGTACAGAAGGAACAATAGCATTTATTATTTTCATAAAAGGATGAAATTTTTTTTTTTTGAGACAGAGTCTCACTCTGTAGTTGAGAGTGACCTGGAACTCACTATGTAGCCCAGGCTGGTCTCGAACTCACAGCGATCCTCCTGCCTCAGCCTCCCTAGTGCTGGGATTACAGGAGTGCGCCACCATGCCCGGCATAGGATGAAATATTAAAATGAAATGAAAAAGTAGACATGAAAAAGGAGCTGATGTTGAACGTGCTGAGTGTTTGTGAAGGATTCAGAAGGAAGCCACTACTCTGGCTTGGTGGAAAGCTCGAGAGGGGACAGCGCACTGTGCTGCTCGCTGCCAGGTGTAGGTGGCACATGGCATGGGCTGGGCACAGCTTGGGGATGCAGGAGGCACCGGCTTGCAGTACAGGAAGGACAGTGACCTCTCACAGGGAGGCCAAGGGGCTTCCTGGAGGCCCACGAGTGTCCCCTGCACAATGCCGGCCCTTGATGTGCTCTGAGACTTGTGTTGGGTCCAGCAGCTATGTGTAGCTTCCTGTCTCTCCCTGGCTCTCCCTCTCCCTGCCTTCTTCTTTCCTGTCTTCATCCTCCCTCCCTTCCTTCTTGCAAGCTAGGGATGGTGCCCGGGGCCTCGCTGGCCGGGCAGCACCCTGTCTTGGTATATAAAATTGATTTTCATCTGGATCAGTGGACAAGCTGGGGTGATACGAGGATCTGTAGTAGTTCCCCGCCCCCCGGTTCTGGGGATCAGACTCAGGACCTTGTGCTTGGGCGGCAGGCGCAGCACCACTAAGCTAGATCCCTGGCCCTGTGGGATTAGTATTAATGGAGCTGTACTCTGTACAACTGCGTTCTGAGTGTTTTCTCGTTAACCTGGCATCAGCCCCGAAGTCAGTTATTTTTCCTTCTATTTGCAAATGAGGCCCACCCCAGCTCATCATTCTCGTGGAGAGGCGGAGTGGGCATGTGAGCTCCTCTGTGAGCTCCAGCTGCTTCCTTCTGCACACTTGGGAACAGGTTGCCACACGTACGTTGCTACCGCAGGGCCAAGGATGGAGCCTGGGATAAGGAGATGCTGGGTTAGCTTTGCTGAAAGGATGGAAATCCATCGGTCAAACCCAGACACTTCCTTCCACACAAGCAGGTGGAGCCTTGAAAAATGTGCTCTGAGACAGAAAACACTTGCTTCTTTGTTGCTGTGCTTTCTCCTTTTTTGGTACCGGGGATCGAACTCTGACCCTTGTGCTTGCAAGGTGGATGGAACCACTGAGCCAAGTCCCTGGCCCTACACATTCTTGTTTTATTTTATTTTATGTGGTACTGGGTTTTGCACTCCCCCACCTTTTTTATTAACTTATTTAATTTTTATTTTGAAACAGGGTCTTGCTAAGTCACTAAGTTGCTCTGTGCTGGGAGCAATGTGCTGTAAATCACCGTGGCCAGGCCTAACTGGCCTCCTCCCGTGGATGAGGAAGGGCCCCACAGTAGTGCAGGCGACAAGAGGGCACGGTGGAGCAAGGCCGGGCCAAAAAGATTACTGTCTTCCTCCGGGCCCCTTTGCCAGAAAGCCAAGCATGATGTCCTAAAGACCTTAGCTATTCTCCTGGCTCCGGTTATAGAGCAGCCCCCTTTACCTCTGTGACTACAAATAAATGTGCGCCCATTTGGTTGGTGGTTTTTGCCTCCCATCAGGAGTAAAAAGCCCCACCTGGCCCCACCTATACCTTATTATATCTCTTTGTCTGTCTGTCTTAATCTCTTACCATCACTCCATGAACCCTTCAGCCATGCGGGGGCCGTGGCAGCTCAAACTGGGTTGGAACTTGTGATCCTCCTGCCTCAGCCTCCCAAAGTGCTGGGGTGACAGGTGTGCACCACCACAACCAGCATTACAGGATCATTCTTCCTCTTCCTCCTCCTCCTCCTCCTCCTCTTCTTCCTCCTTAGTGCTGGGGATGGAACCAAACGCTAAGCAAATGCTCTACCCCTAAGCCACACTTCAGTCTCACCAAATCCCATTCACTCTCAGTCTGAAATACTTCTCAAACCCATTCACTTCCCCCTCCTCCACCCTCCAGCCCAGCACACCACATATTCACGCAGGAGGGCTGGGGTGCTCTTGCTTGGACAGAGCAATTGCCTGTCATGCCAGAAGCCATATGGTTCACCCCAGCATTGAAACACAGGGTGGCACAAAACCAGGGATGGGGGTTTAACTCAGTGGCAGAGCTTGAGTTTAACACACACAAAGCCCTGGATTCAGCTGAGTGTGGCAGTGCAGACCTAGCACTGGGGAGGCTGAGACAGGAGGATCACTGTGAGTTCAAGGCCAGTCTGGACTATACGTAGTGAGACCCTGTCTCAAAAAAATAATAAATCAATCCATAACCCTGAACCAAATTGTATTATTCCTTAAACTGTCCCCTTCATCCCGGAGTCGGTTCCTAAGTGGCCTGTATAGCTCATCCTCCCTCTGGCGGCTGGAAAGACTGTCTACTTGAGCGATCGTCAGCCTGCACTTCAGCAGTGACATGGCCAGTGATCAAGGAGAGGTGACACGGAATTGTTTCTAAATCGCAGAATCAGAGCAAAGATGTAACCGCCGGGAGATTTACCACGGAGTGACTTTCAGATGAGGCCGGGTGGGGTGAGAAGTCTCGCGGCGTTGTCACTTCGCTGTCTGGGGCCATGGATTCATCAAGCCCCCGGGGAGCCCGATTCCCACTCAGGGAGTAAACAAGGTGACCTCATGGTGACGCACCCCCCCAGGGGCGGTTTGCCTGCTGGCTGGAGGGGTGGCTGCGGTTGTCACTACTAATCGACTCTGCCTCGCCAGCCTGCCACTCCCCGGGGACTCAGTTTGTCTCAGACTCACTGCCCTCCAAGGGGCCTTCAGATTCTAGTTGCTGTCTGGGCAGTCAGTACCCACTGTCCACGCAGAGTCGCGGGAGGACAGCGCCCCTGCCCGGTTTTCTGCCCAGCAGCCCACGCCCAGCTCCCCGCGGAGGGGGGAGTGTCACGGTTTAAAACGGGCGCATGCGCATCTCTCTTGCATGGGTCTCTCATTGCACGCGTGCGCAAAGACAGGAGGCAGAGCCTCTGCGCGTAACCCGCATACACCGGACCCAGCCTGGTGACCTGGGCGAGTGATCCGGCCCTTGCACACCTCTGTTCCCTGTGAATGCAACAGCCTCTCCCGGGCGTTGGCAGAAGTGTTCCCCGCCTACTCAGAGCCGCTATGGGATTGCTATTTTTACTGCTGTGATTAGTATATATCATTTTCCATGGCAGGAAATGGGGTCTATTTGGTTTTGTTACCCAGAACCCTGGCTCTCTGTCAGGGCTTTAGCAGTGGCTGAGTGTGTGATTTCAGGAAAGTTATTTAACTTCTGAAAGCCTCAGTGTGTTCACATGAAGGACTGAATACTACTGACCTTAGAGAGTCGTTTTTTGTTTTTCTACAGAGTCTCACTGTATAGCCCAGGCTGGCCTTGAACTTGCGGTTATTCTCCTGCTTCAGCCTCCTCAGTGTTGGGATTCCAGGTGTGTGCCTGCACACTCAGGTGTCCCCCCAAATTGCACGTGTCAGAATTCAGTCCCCAGTTCACATGGTGATGTTATTTGGAGGGGGACACCCTTGGGGAAGGCATGAAAGTAGAAGCTGTAATTGTTTATATGGCAGAAAGAAAGACCCAGCCAGCACCTTGCTGTGGTGCCTGCTGTGGTGCAGTCAGAAGGCCCTCACCAGGACTTCCTGTCCTCCAGCTCCTCTGTTCTTCCCAGCCTGGGGTGTCTGGTTCACTCACTCCGAAGGACAGCACCTCCCAGAGAAGCCCTTCCTGAACCTCCTAGCCACAGCCTTCGACCTTCACTGCGTCCGGAGTCCCCCCACTTGTGGCTCTAATTTCTCCATGTCCACTACTGAAATACAGTCTTAGTATGGACAGGGACCTCATCTCCTTTGTGCAGCTCTGGTGGGGTTTTAGTTTTGCTTTGGTTTTGGTTCTTGAGAGTGTTTCTCGCTATGTATTCCAGGCTGGCCTTGAACACCTGGTGAGCCTCCTGCCTCAGCCTCCCCCTGCAGGGCTGGGATGACAGGTGTGTGCTACGATGCCCAGCTTTGTTCAACTCTGTCTGCTCAAGCACAGCCCTGACCAGAGTACCTGGCACCAAGTACACAGTGAGCAGCTGTAGAATGGTTCAAGGGCCAGGAGAGAGAGATGCCACAGAAGCCTGAGAGGGTTTTCTGTCACCCACGTGGCTCCATGAGCCTGCAGGCATCTGCACCCTGCCCCACTCCCATGCCAAGGAGTCTGAGTCCCCGGAGGGCACTGAGGGCACAGCTACCCACCCTGGAGCAGCCAGGTACGGCCGGGTTTAGCCTGATCTCAGCCAGAGGCCTCGACCATTGACATCAGGGTCTGGACCCATGAGAGCAGAGACTCAGCAAAGTCCAGCCTCGCAAATGCAGCAGGTGGCTCCGCGACTAAAGGAGCAATGGCGCCCATGCTAGAGAACTCTGGGGCTAAGCCCATGCCTGGGTCCATTTTTCATGAGATGAAATCCAGCTGGGGATTTAGCTCAGTGGCACCAAGCCTGCCTTGCGAGTGCAAGGTCCTGAGTTCGATCTCCAGTACCCCCTCCCAATGAAATCCCTGAGAATGGGTGCTTATAAAGACAAGAGGACTGTTTAACTCTCACTTTCAGAGGCTGGAAGCCCACACAACATGGCGCTGCCCCTGGGGAGGATCCCCATGACCACATCCCATCGTGACGGGTGGACATCCTGGTGGGGACCTGTGGGGACAGAGAGATCACGCAGATGGACATGGGGAGGGACTGGCCTCTGACCTCTTCAGTGCCGCCCCCCAAAACATATCCATACTGGCAGCCCAGCTTCCGGGGGTGGCCCGTTGTCCTCTGAGAGATTCATTCTCTGTTGTGAGGTGCAGCAGGACTCCCCCAGCTCAGGCAGGCCTGACTTGTCACAGGGTTGTGCTTGGTACTTACGGTGTTAGGCTTGGTGCTGGACAGGGGACCAACTCGCAGTCCAGGCAGGGTGTCCTGGATGCCTGCCCAGCATCGCAGGTACACAGAAGACTTCCTCTTGCTCTTCCTCAGAAGAGGTGTGAGAACCTGCAGCCTGGGCCTGGGATTGCCACGAAAGCAGAGTGTGGAGCTCTCAGATAAACTATGCCACACAGGAGGGAGAGCAAGGGAGGAAGTCACCAGGGCCTTGGTGACAGGCGGAGTCTTAGGAACAAGCCCACTGGAGCGGCTCTCTCCAAACCTCGGGTCCACAGAGCAGTATTTTCTCCCTGTGCTTGGCTGTGGTTTGTTCCCTCTCTCAGTCACTTTCCTCATTACTTTGGCTCACAGTCTGGACAGAGCTCAGTCCATGGTCCTTTGGCACCAAGGCAGGGCAGCCTGTCAGAGGGGCCCAGCGGAGGAGAGCTGCTCAGGGCATGGTGGACAGGAAACAGAGGGAGATGGGGTCACATGTAGCTATAAACTCAACAGTGGATTACTCCACCGAGGAGTGTCATGACCCTGTGATCCAGTCACCTCCCCTGACCCCACCTCTGAGCACATGAGGCTTTGGGGGGCATCTAGGCAGAAACCATAGGGTCCCCCAGAGTCCTTATGTGGCAGGCTTTGCCCTCATGAGGTGATGTTAGGAGGTAAGGTGATGTCAGGACCTGTCAGAGGCAGGGCTGGTGGGGTCCCTTGGAAAGAAGTAATGTAGTTCTTGCAGTGGGTGTGCCTCTCTGGCTTCCTCCCTAATGACACAGCATCTTCTTCTCCTGTATACTTGTGCCCGTCTGCCATACCTCCTCACCAGAACTGACCTGGGCCCGCCTCCGAAACTGACCTACATAAGCCTCTGCCTGACAGAATGCCCAGCCTCAGTTGTTTTGTTAGAGTAACAGAACATTGGCTTAAAATAAAGAGTCCTGCCCGGGCCAAAAATGAAGTAGAAATGACACATAAATATATGAAAAAGTGTTCAACATCACTGGTCATTCGAGAGATGCAAATTAAAGCAACACTGAGATTCCATCTCACTCCGGAAAGAATGGCTGCCATCAAGACATCAGCCAGTTGGGCCGGGGATTTAGCTCAGTGGTTCTGATGCCGGACTTGCAAGCACAAGTTCCTGAGTTCGATCCCCAATCCCTCCCCCTCCAAAAAATAGAGTTCTGACCAGCTGTGTCAGCCTGTGCATCTAGTGAGTCCGAGGTGAGCTGAGATCGATCTCGTAGATGCCTAGACTCTTAGACAGGATGGAGAAATAGGTGGGACTCTAAGACAAGAGACTTCCACCGCCGGAAGGAAGTGAGCAGTCCCAAGGTCAATCAGCTGCAGTCAGATGTGTGCGGGCTACATCCTGAGAGTTACTTTAGAGGGTTAGTCCCAAGCCAACAACACACTTGAGTCTGAAAAGTCCATCTTTGACATCTGCTTCTGTAGAGAGAGAACTTTTTCATTTTATTAATATTTTTAAATTTTAAATTTTATTAATTAATATTATTAAAAGGTCTCACTATGCAGTCCAGGCTGGACTTGAACTCACTACATAACCCAGGCTGGGTTTGAACTCATGGCGATCCTCCTGCCTCCACCTCTTGAGTGGAGGGACAACCGCGTGCACCACCACAGCCGGCTTGAGAAAGCTTTTCAGAAACAGACACTCACTCGGACACACGCAAGACACTGGGATAGTCTGATACCCAAACAGCCGCGGTCCTGGTGGTTACCGCCAACTCTCCGGAGGCCAGCAGGGAAGAGGATTTTGTTTCGGATCCGAATGTTCCGCATCTGTTTTGGGTTGTGCATTGTGTGTAGGTATTTATTCCTTGATTCACAGTAAATTCCCAT